GGCGTCTCTTTGGTTTTCGGCGCCCCGCTAGTTCGGAGCCGTTATTTCCCAACCATCCTGCGGTGTTGGGTCCTCGTTTGAAGAGACAGTGCCCCGCGTTTCTCTGCTCTCCTCTCTCCTCCTCCTCCTTCTCCCTCCTCCCATCATCATCGTCATCATCGTCATCCTCATCGGCGTCATCATCAGCATCAACGTGATTGCACACGGTTCGTGGCCCCATAGGAGCTCCATTTAAGGCCCCAGTGGCGATGTTCCCATGCGTCCGCGCCACCCAATCCGGCACACTCCTCACACGGTTCGTGGTCCCATAGGGAGCTCCACCGAAGGCCCCAGTGCCGACGTGCCCATAGTTCCGCGCCACCCAATTTTGGCAGACCCCTCACACGGTTCGTGGCCCCATAGGGAGCTTCACCGAAGGCTCCAACGGCGACTTTGCCATGCGTTCGCGCCACGCACGCCCCCTCACACGGCTCGTGGCCCCATGGGGAGTTCCACCTAAGGCCTCCGTGGCGACGTTCCCATGCTTCCGCGCCGCCCATTTCGGCATACCCTTCACACGGTTCGTGGCGCCATGGTGAGCTCCACCAAAGGTCACAGTGGTTGCGTTCGCATACGGTTCCACCGCCACTTCGGCACACCCTTCATACGTTTTGTGGCCAGGGAGTTCCACCGAAGGCCCCAGTGGTTGCAGTCGCAGGCGTTTCCACCCCTATTCCGGCACACCCTTCGCACGTGTCGTGGCTTTATAAGGAGCTCCACCGAAGGCCCCAGTGGCTGCGCTCGCATGCGGTTCCACCCCCATTTCGGCACACCCTTCACACGTTTTGTGGCCCCATAGGGAGCTCCGCCGAAGGCCCCAGCGTCTGCGTCCGCTTAAGGTTTCACAACCATTTCGGCACACCGCTCACACGTTTTCTGCCACCATAGGGAGCTCAGCCGAAGGCTCCAGTGGCTGCGTCCGCATGCGGTTTCACCACCATGTCGACACACCCCTCACACGCTTCGTGGCCCCATAAGAATCTCCACCACAGGTCCCAGTTGCGCAGTTCGCATGCGGTTGCACCGCGATTTCGGCACACCTCTCGCACGTTGCGTGGCCCCATAGGGAGCTCCACCGAAGGCCCCAGCGGCTGCGTTCGCATGCGGCTAGGGAGCTCCACCGAGGAGAATCATCACAACCGCGGCATTCGTTTGGGTCCTTCGCTTGGATTGTTTGTTTTCGGCGCCTCTTTGGTTTTCGGTGGTCGTTTGGTGTTCCGCGCGTTTTGGTTCTCGGCGCCCCGTTGTTTTTCGACGCTCTTTTGGTTCTCGGCGCTCTTTTTGGTTTCGGCCCCATTTCGGTTGTCTGCGCTGCGCACTCTTTGTGTTCGACGCTTCTGTTGTTTTCGGCGCCCCTTTGGGTTTCCGTGCTCCTCTGGATTTCGGCGCATCTTTGGCTTTCGGCGCCGTTTTGGTTTCCGGTGCCTTTTCGGCCTTCTGCATTTCTTTGATTTTCGGTGGCTCTTTGGTTTTCGGCGCTCTTCTGGTCTTCGGCGCGCCTTCCTTTAGCCAGGGGGTTGGCTTCCAAGCCCCCCACCCCCTTGAGCCCAAAAGGAGGGGGGGGAGCTTCCGGCAGGGGAGGTGCAAAGGAGAGGGGACAGCTAAGCCCCCCGCCCTTGGGAAAAGAAGGGAGGGGGGGGGGCGGTAGCTTCCAGAGCGCGAAAGGGGGGAGGGGGGGAGAGGCTTGGGGCTCCCAGCAGGGGAGGTTCAACGGGGGGGGGGGTAGCTGAGCCCCCCCCCTTTAGACAGGGAGGGGGGGCGGGGGTAGCTTCCAGAGTGCGAGAGGGAGGAGGGGGATAGCTTCCGAGGAGCGGACAAAAACGAGAGGGGGGGAGGGGGCTTCCCCGGCAGGGGAGTTCCAGGGGGGGCCGGGGGGGGGCAGCTTCAGGGGGACCCCCCCCCTTTCGGAAGTGGGCCACGGGCGCGCTCTCGCGTTGTTCTTTGGGGGGCCCCCTGGGCCGCGGTGGAGGGCCCTCTTGGGTTGCCCTTGGGGCCGCATTAGGCGTCTTCGGGTGATGCGGGGCCGTCTCGCGGGCCTCTTGGATCATTAGGGGAACAAAACGTGACACAAACATAAAGACTCGGAGGTCCGCGCGGATTTCTCAGATCGGCGCTGGGGCCCCCCGGCGGCGCCTCCAGCGCCGCCCCTGGCGCGCTCCGCGCGCCAGGGAGGGGGGTCCAGCGCCGATCCGAGAAATCCGCGCGGACCTCCAAGTTGTTACGTTTATGTCATTTCTTGTTCCCCTAATCATGTTGGTTGCCTCTTGGGACTCTCTTGGCCCGTCTCGGGGCCCTCTCGCCTCGGGAACGGTCACGCGACAGGCCGCAGGAGTCCCGCGACGGGCCCCAGAGATGCCGTGAGCTTGGGGTCTGGATCACTTCAAGGATATTCAGAGGATGCACTTGTTTACGCTTCGCGAATCCCCGTCAGCCCATTCAGAAGCCCTGCCCACGAGAGCAGACAGGAAATGGAACGCAGAGACGCATATACTGAAACAGAGCGGTCAAAGAGAGGAGGGGGAGGAGCGTGTTAAGCCATGTTGGCCTTCTTGGAGCTATGGGGCTTTTTGGGAGGGGCGTCTTGGGGTCCTGTTGTGGCTCTTTTGGGGCATCTTGGGGCCCTCTTGGAGCTATTTGGGGGTATTGGAATACGGTATTGGGGTCCTCTCGGGGCTCTTTTGGGGCGCCTTGGGGCCCTCATGGGGCCCTCATGGGGCCCTCTTGGCGCTCTCTTGGAGCTCTCTTGGGGGCCTCTTGGGAGCCCTGGAGGGCATCTGGGCAATCAAAAGATCATCTTGGGATGCTCTTGGCCCCCTCTTGGGGCGTTCTTGGGGCAGTCTTGGGGGCCTATTGGGCTCCTGTTTGAGCTTTCTTGGGCCATCTTAGGGCCATCTTAAGTCCTCAAAAGCGCATCGGAAGCGAAAAGGCGGCAAGGTCAATATCAGTGGTTTTCCATAGATGTTCGAATGATGTTGGCTTCTCGCGGAAGTCCTGAGGGGTGTCCAACAGCATTTGCATTCGTCTTGTAGCCCTCTTGGTGCCTCTTGGAGGCATGCTGTTAGCTATATTGAGCCATGTTGGGCTATTTTGAGCGATATTAGAGGCCATCGTGGGCTCTCTGAGGCCCTCGTGGAGCCATCTCGGGCCATCTTGGGAGCTCTAACCCCTCGCGGCCGCCCCCGTCCAGATCCAGGGGAGGGGGTAGGGGGAGGGGTCAAGACGCCCTCCCCGCCCGCAAGCCGTCTCGCTCACTCCCACCCGCCCTCCCAACACATATGTAACACCCGAGCCTGGCCCGAGCCGCAGCATATGCAGCAGTCGTCTTTGGATGGCCAGCTACTGGGGGCCAATCCGCCGCCGCCGCCGCCGCCTCCGCCGCCGCCGCCGCCGCCCGCCGCCCGCCGCCGGCACCGCGCCGCCGCCCGCCGCCGCTGTCCGCCGCTGCCGCCGCCACCGCGCTGCCCGCCGCCGCCGCCGCCCCCTCTGCCAAATCGCCGCCGCCGCAGCCGCTGCCGCCGCTGTCGCTGCCGTCACCGCCGCCGCTCCCGCCACCGCCGCCGCCGCCGCCGCCGCCCCCGCCGCCGCCGCCGCCGCCGCCGCCGTCACCCCCGCAGCCGCCGCAGCCGCTGCCCCCGCCAAGTGTACTCTGTAGTGTTTTTGATAAGGATGGTGGGGGGAAGCCGCATCGGGTTCGCTGCGCATGCTCCGAATTTTGAGACAGAGTGTGTGTTTTATTGTTTGTTACAAGGGATAGTGGGGGCAGAGTGTGGTTTGCATTATTTTTTACAAGGGATGGTGGGGGGGTGCCCGCATGGACTTGGGTTGGCTCCCAGTCGCCTGGGGGAGGGGGTGTATATTAATAGGGAACAGTGATCAAGCTACGCACCCGCCCGCAAGTCGTTTAGCTCACCCCCGCCCGCCCTCCCAACACACAAGTAACACCCGAGCCTGAGCATGTTCAGCGGTCGTCTTTGGATGGACAGCTAATGGGAACCACAGCCGACCCCAGGTGCGCGACGCTTGGGCGAGGTGCGCCACGCGTGACAAGGGCGCCACGCGCGTCAGGCACCCCTGGGGCCCGAGCATGCCAGGCACGCCTGGTGCGCCAGATGCACCATGTGCTCCGAGTGCGCCAAGTGTGCCGCACACTCCAGCCGCGCCAGGTGCGCCACTTTCGGGGCACGTGCAGAGTGCGTCACGTGCGCCTGCGCACGTGACAGCACACATTGGGAAACATGTCGGCCCCCACCATCCTTGTCGAAAACCCATGCCCATCATTGTGTCTGGTGGGCCTGCGCACAGCAGGCCACGCGCCACCACCCCCGCGGTCCTTGTAAAAAACCATTTGACAGTGATCGCGGGATGGCCGCGCATGATCTAGATTTAGCTGCGAGGTGCATGCTGCATCGTGGTTTGTCAGGGATGGTAGCCCTGCGCGCAGCAGGAAATATGCCGACACCCCCGCGGTCCCTTTCAAAAACAATACCATGTGCTCCGAAGTGTACTTTGTACCGTTTTTCAAAAGGGATGGTGGGGGGGGCCGCATCGGGTTGGCCGCGCATGCTCCACATGTGGAGGCTGAGTGCAGCTTGTATTGTTTTGTTCGGCAGGGATGGTGGGGGGCGGGTCGTCATGGTGTCCTCATGGTTCCTGTTTGGACGCCGGTCGCCTGGGGGAGGGGGTGTATATTTATAAGGAGCAGTAATGAACTTTCCCCGAAGGGGAAGAGGGGATATCTTGGAAGAGGAAAGAAAGATCTCGTTAGACCGCCTGTCGCCCAGAGGGCTGGAATGATATTGAGAGCTGCGGACTCGTAAGGACCTGAGGACACAACACTCAGTTCCTCGCGGCACGGTGGCCGATCCTAGCAGCTGGTATTGGATTGTAGTTCTTACGTTTTTGCCGTTGCATTGATGCTCGCCCATATCATCATCTCCCCCGCTGCCCCTGCAACAACCAAGGTGGTGGCCACCTACGCCGGAAGAGCGCAACTACCAGGACTGACCTGTATTTCTCTGCTGTCCGACGCCTCGCCCATCCTCCTATAGCACAGTGTTGAAGGCGACTTCGCCCCCGCAAACGGATTGCACTCAACGCTGTATCCGAAGCGCGTCTCGGGTTCCCTGTGCCCTCTGGTGAGGTGTCCCTGACGCCCCTCCTCTCTGGCCCCTTCCATGGAGATCCGCTGCTTCTGGCGCGGGGTGCCTCCACCCCCTCCGCCTCCATAGCTCGGGCCGGACGAAAGGGGGGGATTGGGAAAGGGGGGATTACGAAATCTACTGCATGCAGCTGGTTTCGGCCTCACCCAGGGGCCCATTCCTCGATACATGGGCGCCTCCGGCGCCGGGAGGCGCCGGGAAAATCAGCTACGTGAGATGATTCTCAAACCCCCCCTTTGCAATCCCCCCCTTTCGCCCGACCCGAATAGCCATCTTGGCTCAAACCTCAAGGCCTTGGGACTGGTTGTGGCAGCGGCGCTGCGTCGGTACCGCGGCGCGGCTGGCGCAAATAGGGTGGGCGCAAACGCTGGTTCGGTGCCACGAGCAATCGGCTGACGTCGCTGGTCGCCTCTGACGGCATCGCCTACAGTCGAAATCGATGGGAAGGATGGGCAATTTTGTTCAAGGGTACCCTTGCATTCGTGCCTCTTTCGGGGAAACGTAAACTCGAGTACGCCAGGACTCGGGTTTGCCGACGCTTTTTGACGATCGCGTCTTGGATTTGGACGGCCCAGATTTCGTGGGGTGTGTGTGTGTGCAACGGGATGTCGCGTCAAGTTTCAGATAGGGTCTTGTCATCTTCGTGATTGCCCCGTCTGAAAATCTGACAAGACCCTATCTGAAACTTGACGCGAAATCCCGTTGCACACACCCCACGAAATCTGAGCCGTCAAATCCAAGACGCGATCGTCAAAAAGCGTCGGCAAACCCGAGTCCCCCGAACCCGAGTCTCATGTCTCCCCGACTTCTTGGTCCATCCTTGACTGCGGTCGATGGCCCGCCGGCGCCCGAGGAAGCCTCAGCACGGGCGTCCAAGCGGCTCGCATCCGTAATTATGGCCATCCTATATCTGTCAGTTCTGCCTGCACGCCCGCTTCTCCTCCTCCTCCTCCTCCTCCTCCTCCTCCTCCTCCTCCTCCTCCTCCTCCTCCTCCTCCTCCTCCTCCTCCTGCTCCTCCGAGCACCTCCTCGATCCCCGAGGACCCGGGGAGGACCCGGGCCGGGCGAAAGGGGGGGATTGGGAAAGGGGGGGTACGAAATCTGCTGCATGCAGCTGGTTTCGGCCCCGCCGCCGGCGCCGGGAGGCGCGGGGAAAATCAGCTACGTGAGCTGATTCTCAAACCCCTCCCTTTGCTATCCCCCCCTTTCGCCCAGCCCGAACCGAGTGCGCTTTCAGCTCTAGCGGCCATAGGTTCGGCGGCGGCGGGCGCGAGTCCGGCTCCACAGGGGGCCGTCCCGTCCAGGCGCGCGGCCTGCGCTGCGGCGCTGTCTGGAGGTCGGCTGGCGGGTCGGGGAGCGCGGGCAACGGCAAGGGCAGCCGGGCTTCCTCCGCGAGGAATATGTGGAGGAGGAGGAGGAGGAGGAGGAGGAGGAGGACCTGGAGGAGGAGGAGGAGGAGGAGGAGGAGGAGGAGGAGGAGAGGAGGGAGGAGGACCTGGAGGAGGAGGAGGAGGAGGACCTGGAGGAGGAGGAGGAGAGAGAGGAGGAGGAGGGAGGAGGAGGAGGAGGAGGAGGAGGAGGAGGAGGAGGAGGAGGAGGAGGAGGAGGAGGAGGAGGAAGAGGAGGAGGAGGAGGAGGAGGAGGAGGAGGAGGAGGAGAGCCGGTGCAAGGCGCACGCCGGTGCGCGCTGCCTCGGGAGGCAGGCGGGCGCGGGGGGCCTCTGCAGCGTGAAGCGCCCACTGGCTGCAGCGCCGCTCGGAGCTCGGGCCCCCGGGCACGGCTTCGGCTGCGAGCGGGCCCCCGGCCTGCTGCACAGGGCACAGCGGCTGCCCCGCGGAGGCGCAGATTCACCTGCGGGCAACCCAGACCCCCTCGAGTAATGAAAAAATCATGACGGGAGGTTTTTCCTAATTTTCGGCCTCGGGGGGCCCTCACCGGGCCTCGGGAGTGTCAAAAAACGACTCAGGATGCAAAGCCGGTCATGGAGAAAGGGTCGGGACCTACGGGGGTCGACGTAATGAAAAAATCATTACGTCGGGGGTCTGGGAATACTTCTGTCCATGTCCACTGCGATATGGAGTTTCAGGTTCCCTTCCCCAGAAACCAGAGGCGCGCTGGATGTGGATACACTCGCCCCCCAGAGGCTCGATGCTTCTCCATATCCAGTGCGCCTCGGCCTTGTGATGCTCCAAAAAGTCCAAGACGCACTGGATACGGATACGAACCTTGCCCGCATCACCGCCCACCAAACCACCCCAACCCATCTCGAAGGCCCCGATTTGCCCTCCATCTCCAGTGTGGTGGTGGGGGGGGGCGGGAAACGTTTTGAAAAAACGCGTCTGAAGCCGGTACCCCCCCAGCCCGAAACGCGGGCTGCGGGGGCGCGGCGCGGCGGTCGCAGAGGCGCGGCGGCTGCCACGGGGAGGTTCGGCGCGTCTCTCGGGGGCTGTCCAGGGCGGGCGGTGAGCTGGTGCGGGACAGGCCTCGGAGTGTGCGCTCGGCATTGGGGACAGCGTGGTGATGCAAGAGCAGATGATGGTTGAAGATGCCTCCGCTGCAGCGAGCGCGTGCGTTTGCGGATTTTCCCCGCGTCTTGAATCGGCCGTGAATATTGATCTTGCCGTCGGTAGTGATCTCCGGCCGCTGATAAAGCCGATTATACTGGTCCAGGCTTCACTGAGATGGCGGTGGTCGTTGTCATTGCCATCCCATGCGTTGCGGAAATATGTCTCGCCCTCGAAATTTGAAGTGGTTTCGAAGCTTCGGGTAACGTCAATGTTGTCTACTGGGACTGGAATCCCAATCGCATCGTCCGTTGGGCGAAACAGTTGTGTCCGTGGTGCACGGATGAGGCGTAGTATAGCCTCACCGCGCTGTTCTCAGTAGTCGGGCTCATGAGCTGGAGCCGATGGCTTTTGTGCCTCGGGAAGGGCTGGTTCGGGAGGCGGTGCTTCGGGGCATGAAGCCTCAGGTGGTTTTGGTTCGGGAAGCTTCGAAGTACTGGGGTCATCCCACTCCGCTGGGTATAGTAGGACGGGGTCGTCCTTTACTGGTACTCCCGCAGGTCGGGATACTTGGAACTATATTAACTCGTGTGCTTCTGGGTTGTGATGTCGGAGAAGACCTTCTCGGATAGGAAAAACGTGTCTCCCGTCGGGAATCACGATGATCTTGACACGATGTGCATGGCAATGCTCTCCGTCGGGGTTCTTAGCATACGTGACCATGTCGATGACGAGGTAGTCACCGGACCAGCGCCCACCAGAGTGGAGGTGGTAACCCATGAACAAGTTTTTTCGTGTGGTCTCGTCAAACTTCGCCGCGGACTCATTGATGTCCGGGTTCACGCATTTCCAGAAGATGCGAGTACCAAAAGAAACAACGTGCCCCTTGAAAGATTATCCGAAATGAATGTCATGTCATGTGACGTCGGTGTATGCCTCCAGTGTGGCGGCAACTCCGTGACAGGGTCGTGGAAATTCTCAGGAAGCACGGCTGGGGTTGATTCTGGGAGGGGTGCCAAATTGTGAACTGATCTGGAGGACGACGAGTTGCTCCTCCTCCTCCTCCTCCTCCTCCTCCTCCTCCTCCTCCTCCTCCTCCTCCTCCTTCTCCTTCTCCTTCCCCTCCTACTTCTCCTCCTCCTCCTCCTCCTCGTCCTCCTCCTCCCCCTCGTCCTCCTCCCCCTTCCCCCTCCTCCTCGGGGAGCGTGGCTCCCTGGAGCTCCGCGGTGCCTCCTCTCTCCCTGCGGGGCCAGCTTCCCGCAGGAGCCCCAGCCAGCGCAGCCCCAGCGCGGCGGCACTGGCCGCGGTCGCCGCCCGGCGGGCAGCGCGCGGCCCAGGCCAGGCCCGGGCGCCGCGCAGGCGGCCCGCTCTGCCTCCGCGGGGGGGGCGGGAGCGGGAGGGCGATAACCTCAGGAGGCCACATGCGAACCCTCCTCCTCCTCCTCCTCCTCCTCCTTCCCCTCCTACGTCTCCTCCTCCCCTCCTCCTCCTCGCCTCCTCCACTTCTCACCCCTCCTCCCCCTCCTCCTCCTCCTCTCCTCCTTCCTCCTTCCTCCTCCTCCTCCTTCTCCTCCTCCTCCTCCTCCTTCCCTCCTACGTCTCCTCCTCCTCCTTCTCCTTCTCCTCCTCCTCGTCCTCCTCCTCCCCCTCGTACTCCTCCCCTGCCCCCTCCCCCACGAAACGTAAGACTCGAGCAAGCCGGAGCTCGGGTTTGCCTACGTTTTGTGGCGAGCGCGTCCCGGATTTGGATCTTGGCGGTCCGGTTCTCGTGGGATGTCTGCAGCGGGAGCCGGCGTCAAATCTCAGCTTGGGTCTCGTCACGTTTATGATGGCCCCGTCAGGCCGGTCCGAGTCCCCCGCACCCGAGTTTTACAGTGCCGTTTTAATACATGCTCCGCGTGCGAATCATTTATTAAACATGCAGGGATTTATCAGTTTTGAAAACAACGATGAGTTCATGCATAAATTTACTCGTAAATTCATCATGTATTAAAAATCCCCCATGCTTACAAATCCTGTGTATCAAAAACTGCCCTGTGCGCTTCCCCGACCTCAGAAGTCCTGGGGTGGTGGGGCAGGGTTCGCACGTGGCCTCCCAGATGAGGAGGGCGTACACGCACACGTGCCGGGCGATGGTCAGCAGGGGGGGGGGGAGGGGGGGGAGGAGCGGGGCGGGAGCGGGGAGGGCGATGATCAGCCAGGGAACGCGAGGGTCCAAGAGGGCCCCCTGGGGTTGTCACGCAGGGCCCCATCCTGTGACAACCCCTTGCGGTCTTTAGAAGACCCCAGAAGGACCCCAGGAGGGCCCCAAGAGGGCCCTACGAGGGTCTCGTCGTCGTTTTTGGCTCAGGCATCAGATGACGATTTTGAGTGGGCCCATTCGCCTGAGCCGGGGGAGCGGGGCGGGAGGACGTGCACGCAGACGAGCCCGCGCCTGTTTCGAGAGAGAGTGCGCATGGCGCGGACGTTCGTGCCGCGCGGCTGGTCTCACGGGCCGGGGGGCCGTGCTTGTGTACGTGGCTGGGGGCGTGCGTCCTCTGTGGGCTCCCTACACCTTAGGCGATGCTTAAGAAAACCTAAGTTTTCGTCCTGAGTCTCGATGATTCTTCACTTTTCAATGTAAATCCCAAGATTTTGATAGAAGTTCTGGGTTTTATTCACTTTCTGAGACTATGAATTTCTTAACCCATGATTTCTTAAGCATTTCGCAGGGTGTAGGTACGGAGGGGGAGGAGGAGGAGCAGCAGGGAGAGGCCACCCCGACCCCCATCACTGGCGCTCACCAAGCGGCCCTGGGCGTTTGCCAAACAGCCCTGCCCTGCTCGATTCCTTCTCTGGGTGCGTGTGCCAAACGCCTTCGCTTGTCGGGGTGCTTCTTGTGCGGGTGTTTTTTTTTGTTCTGCTCGTTCGCAGAGGAGTGGAGCAATCTCTGATTCCACCTCTTCCGCCTCCTTCGTCTCCGACGACAAAGAGAAAGGTGACGACGACGGCCACGAGTTCACGTGACAACTACCTAGTTCCTGAGGACGAGTTGTGGTTCCAGTTCCTTCGCCTCTTGCACATGAGCGAAGGAAGAAAACAGAGCCGATTGCGCGGACATTAACGCAAGACCGCGTGTAAGCGCCCTTGTCCCCAATGTGGCGTGCTGCGCAGATGGCCCGCGCATCCACCGCGTAAGGTCGCTATGCTGTCTCGCGTCAGACCCATTTCGTCGCTTAGATGGCCGTCGACCACCTACTGTAGGATGTCAAGCAGCCCTCGTTGAAGTATTCCTAGCCCGCAGCAGCCTCTCAAATTGCTCGGGCTCGCGCTCGCTGGCCCTCTTTCCTCTTCCTTCCGCTCCTTCTCCTCCACCACCTCTTCCGCCTCCTCCTCCTCCGCCTCCTCCGCCTCCTCCGCCACCCACCCCCGTAGATTCTCGCACCCCTTAAGTGGTTCACGAACGCCAGTGTGGATACAGTCAGGGGCTGCCTGACCTCGTTCTGCATGATCAGCTTGTTAAGCTTGCCCACCTCCTTGTATCTGGCAGGCCACGGTACAGTCCACTCGCACCACAATCCGCGAGTTCATCAGCCCGGTCGTTGAGGAATATCATGTTTCCTCTTGGGGCGTCATTGGAATTCTTGGAACGATCTCTGGGGCGCGTTGGGATTACCTTCGAGTCGTCATGTTCATGGCCATCTTGGCTGTTGCGGACGCTTCGAAAGCGCCAGTGAGGGGATGCACGCGACAGTCAGCAAGTAGGAGGTGAGCGAGTCCCTAGAAAATTAGACACACCAATGGCGTTATACCACACCCCAGCTTGCCAGGGGGCAAGGAGGCGGATTGTAACGCTGCATCCCTGTGTCCGATCAGATTGGCAGACATGTCAAAGAATGGGCGTGTGTAGAGGTTACCCGTGGAAAGTATGAGGCACGATCTCGCTCAAAGCTTGTGCCAGGCAGCCGCCCTGGATATGATGGGTGGCCCACATGATCTACGATGGAGTCTTACTCTGACTGTTCTGAGGGCACAGGACGGCTTAATCGTGTGCTTCGGGTGGCTGCGGCTGCAGCATGTTGGCCAGTCATGTGTAGGCATCGGGCTAGAATTCGCATTACTACATCTTGTAGTACGTCTGTCTTCATGTTTCAAACATGTGGGCACACTCTGCTAAGAGCTGCAGCGGCTATACAACATGGCAAGCTGTTTTCCTTCATATTCACTGGAAGCGTTCCACGGCCTGCGAGTTGAGCTCCGATGTTCTTGCATGTCTTGCGGTGAGGTGGGATGCAGGGAGGGTGAGAACGACGTTTGGAGGAGAAGAGTGCAGAGTAAAGATGTTTGGGGCACAGGGTAATGAACCAAGAAATCTGAGGGCGAATCAGGAAATTCGAAAAACTGACCCGGAAAGCCCTCACGTTTTCTTAGTGCGCTGATTGATTCCCATGTATCCAGCCTAGCGCAAAGACCAGACGGCCAAGTCCGCCGACCTCGAGAGGTAAACGGCCAAGTCCGCCGACCTCGAGAGGTAAACAGCTTGGGCGCAAGAGGCGGATGGGGGACGGGGGCAAGGGGCAGTAGCGGCAGTCATGCGAGGGCGAAAAATCGAATGCTCCTCAGCCCATCCAGCCACTGCGTCTGGGTCGTGCTCCAGAGGCTTTGGAGACAGTTGGGGGGACCGCGAGGGTGGAGGAGGGAGGAGCCTCCATGTTCCTTGAGAGGGGTAGGGGACGGGGGGGCACACCCACACACACACACACACACACACACACACACACACACACACACACGCACAGACACACACAAACACACACACACACACACACACACACACACTGCCGCCCCCCTCCCCCTGGACCCACCTCCCCGACGGGGAAGGGATACAGGGCAGGGGCTTCCCATGTGGTAGATTGAGCCGATGCTGTGTAGAACATTGAACATGATGGGCGGGGTCTGCGAGGTTTGACAGGCCTCCCACACGCGCCGACAGGGTCGACGGATTTCCCGTGCTGGCCGCGGATATTTTCTGACAGTGCAATTTCCAGTTCAAGTTTGTTTGTGTCAAATGTGGGATGATGTGTTGTGTGTGTGTGTTGTGGGGCTGGTTTCTAGTGGGCGACAGAGCGCTGCAGGAAGAAGCGGCTGTGACGTTCGGTTGCGGGCGGCGCGGTCCCAAGAGCGAGTTGTCGCGTCAATGATGAGGAAGAGGGATAGAGGAGGAGGGAGGGAGAGGAGGGACGTGGATGAGGGAGGTGTTAGCTCATTCTTTAGGTTTCAGTGGACTCGATGACGTTCTCGGAGACTGGTGAGGGAGAAAAGGAGGAGGGGAAGGTTGATAATGAGTGGACGAGGGAGCACAAGGCAGGACAACCATGGCATACAAAGCTGAGAAAAAGGGATGCCTCACATGCTTGTCCCATTCCAGGCCAAGCGAGGTACTGCAGTAAAGGATGGGCCTGTTCTGGTGAAGGAGTGGCAGTGGATGCGAGTGTCATGCGCGCGGACTTTTTCAAGGCCAGTAGGAAGTCGGAACCCTCCAGTCGGGCGGGCTGAGATTTTCCAGTTATTGCTCGTCACAGCAGGGCACGACCGTGCCGTGCCAAATGTTCGCAAGATGTCATCAAGGATGCAGTTTTGCGCCAGCTGATTGGAGGATCAGGCGAAGCCGTCCCGTCCAGGAACGTGTGCTTTGGCGAGCTGCTCGTCGAGAGGACTGTTGGCGAGGCTGATGGCGGGCGGGATGCTTCTGCCACACAGCGTTGGCCCGAATGGGGCCCTACTTGGGTAACAAGTCGTGGCACGGGTGGTCTGTCGGCGGCGAGAGCCTGGGGGGGAAGCGAGAAGGGGCGAGCCTGCTCAGAAGGCTCGGCAGTCCCCGGGCCTTGCGAGAAGTTGGTTTCAGCCTTCCCCGAAGATCGGTAGTCCCCAAACGTGGTGGTGACAACACCTGGCGGTGAGTCTCGGGCGATTTGGTGTCACCACCCGGTTTGGGGACTCGTGCGGTTTTCCGAGGATGTCCCGGTCATTGGCTGGGCCAGGAGTCACAAAACCCGGCGGTGACCCCGCGTCCCCAAACCCAGCGGTGACCTTTTTGGGGATTCCAGGTCGCCACCTGGTATCTCACCACCCAGTTTGGGGGTGCCCAAGAAGATAGAAACCTTCTACGTGGGCGCGAGGGCCTCTGAGAAGTCTCGTCTGCGAAGGCCTTCTCCTTCTCACTTCCCCCCCTCGCCCGTCGCTGAATGGGATGGGTTGTCTGGGTTCTCCCGCCGTGCCTGCCTATGCCCGCCTCGTGCGCGCACAGACGGGGCTAGGACGAGGAGCTCCCCTGGAGGCCCCAATGGGAGCTCCACTGGAGGACCCAGCGGCAAGGGTCACATGCCGCCTCGCCCATTCCCGTACACGCCTCACACGCTTCGTGGCCCCATTCTCTTGATTCTCTTCGTCTCGCCTGCCTTGCCGGGCTCCAACCTGTAGACCTTCGCCGGGATATGTTCACCGTTCCAGAGGGCGCCGAGAATGGGGAACACACAGCGGATAATGCTACAGTCGGACCGAGGTATAAGATCGAAGTCGGTTCGGGGAGGGTACCCTAATGTTCGTGGTGCCTGTTGGATGTTCATGTGCACCCTGGGGAGCGTACTCTTGGATGTTGCGAAGGCCTTACGGCCGGTGCCGCCGACCCTGCAGACGACGAAGATGAAAACGAGCGGGGGGGGTAGGAGGCGGAGGAGGAGGAGGAGGAGGAGGAGGAGGAGTGGTGGGGGAAGAGGAAGGGGTGAGGGAGAAGGAGGGGGGGAAGGATGAGGAGGAGGAGCAGGAGGAGGAGGAGGAGGAGGCAGAGAAGGAGCAGGAGAAGGAGGAGCAGGGGGGGGAGGAGGAGGAGGAGGAGGAGGAGGAGGAGGAGGAGGAGGAGAAGGAGGAGGAGGAGGAGGAGCAGGAGGAGGAGGAGGAAGAGGAGGAGGAGGAGGAGGAAGGGGAGTAGGAGGCGTTGTGGCATTCTGGGGTCTTTTGGAAATAGCTTTTCATGGTTTCGGGGGCGCTCGAGGGGGAAACGTATCTGGGCGGCGTCCTTTGGCCTTTTGGGTGCCCCCTTTGGCCATCCTTAGGCGTTATTGGGCTGTCTTGTGGGGCGTGGGCCGTCTAGGGGCGCTCTTGCGGATCCGTCGTAGCGACCCCCCCCATCCAGCGCATCTACAGGGGGCCCCTCTGCAAAAGCCTCAAACGGGGGATGCGAATCTGACCTCCCCCCCAGCCCCCCCCCCCCTCCACGGCCTGGGAAGAAGGGACAAAGGGAAGGGGCTTCCCTTTGACGCGACTACGACGTGGGTCGATTTCCCTAAATCCCTGGACTCCTCCCCCCGACGACGGGAGAGTGCCCTCTCACCCCCGACGGGGAAGGACAGACAGAAAAGGCGCCCCGTCGACGGGACCAGATAGACACCCCACATACGCCGACAGGGTCGGCGGATTCTGTGCGTTTTGGCTGGCGGGGGATCTCCGTGCCCTCGAGGGGTGATCTTCTGTTCTGGCTTCGGTTGCCTTCTCCTCCTCCTCCTCCTCCTCCTCCTCCTCCTCCTCCTCCTCCTCCTCCTCCTCCCGTTTCAGAGCGTTCGGGGACGCTCTCGGCGCTTGCCGTGACGCTCTCGGAGCGTTCTGGGACGCTTTGAGAAGGCCGCGGCGCGCCCAATACGTCCTCCAGAGCCGCTGGATCTCAGAGATTCTCGATCTATCCGGGCTCGATTTTTCCACATGTTTTTGTATACCACACCCTCCCCGCCCCGGTCACCTGGGGCCCTTTTCAGCATACAAAACAACGCCCCAGGGAGGGAATTTTGTATACCAGACCCACAAGCAAGCATGACATTCGCCCGCCCCATGGGGCTTTTGGGTATAGTCTACGAATGTTTCGGGCGGACCGATTCTACCTTCGTCCTGACTTCGTCATCTTGGCATTTCCTGCCTGGCGTACCCGCTCCGCACGCGAGTCCGGTTATTGCTTGTTATTCGTCGCCTGGTTTTTGCTTGGCGTTCGTCCCGTGCCCGCCTCGTGACCGTCGTGCCCACGCTATTGGCGCTGGTTCGGGCTTCAGGCCCAGACCTTCTCGCGATGGGGACAAACACGACGGGAGGTTTCTCGTTATTTTCAGCCTCCAGAGGCCATTACAGGGCCTCGGGACCGTCAAAAACGATTGAGGACGAAAAACCCGTCCCGGGGAAGGGGTCCAGATTTCTGGGGGTCGACGTTGTGAAACAAATCGCGCCGTCGGGGGTCTGGGGGATGCACACACAGCTCGCACCACGTATACGTTCTCCTCCTCCCAAGGGAGTTCAGACTCTGCCCCCCCACCCACCGAGGCCGGGGTTGACCGTGTCCCTCGGAGTAGTGTCGTTCAAATTTCTGTTCGAGTGCTCTGAAATCGGGGAACCCTCCCTGCAGCCACCCGTGCAGAAATTCCCCCTCGGGCGATCCCATCGTCGCCAGATGTCAGTACAAGGAGCGAGCGAGGCCGAGCACGCCCGCCAGGTTCTCCGCTTTTGCCCTGCACCCTGCAGCGCGGGAGCTAGACGCCCGCAAGCGCGCCGCCAGGTATTCGGGCAGCTCGCGGGAAAAGGAGTCAAGGCTAATATGAACCCGCGTCAGACGTCATTCTGCTGGACCCCCAGTAGCCCTCGAAAGGGGCGACTGTTTCGCAGCTCGCAGCCCCCCAGGGATGGCGAGGTCGATTCAATCTGCGTAAAAGGCTGTTCCGATGGACCCCCAGAAGCCTCCCCAGTGATGGGGGGATTACATGTCAATCTGCGTAGGACGCCCTTCCGCTGGACCCCCCTTCAGCCCTCTGAGGCGGCGACAGCGTCGCAGCTCGTACCCCTCCCCCCAGGGACTGCGAGGTTGAATCTGGATTTGCGTAGGACATCATCCCGCTGGACCCCCTCTGCGCATTCACAAGCGGCGACAGTCTCAGGTCGCATCCCCCCAGTGATGGCGAGGTCGAATCTGAATATGCGTAGGACGTCATTCCGCTGGACCCTCCAGCAGCAGTTTAGAGATGGCGTGTACAGAAGATTTGCCAGCTCAGTACGACTTGTAGCATCCACTGATCCTCCAATCACAGCATGTGCCGTTAGCTTTTTTTGCTGTGCCTTGCACGGCGACGCATTGCATTCGATGCTTGGTGGCGGACGTCGGGAGCACGCGACCGCGACGGCGAGAAAAGCTACCGGGTGGGACCCGGAAGACGTGGGGAACAGAGGCAGGCTGGCCAAGGAAGGCCCTGGGGAAAAGAATCGAAGGATTGCAAAAAAACCTTGGGTTTTTTTTGCAATCCTTCGGGTTTTTTTGCAATCCGGGGTTTTTTTGCAATCCTTCGTTGACCAGAGCATCGCGCACGTGGGGTGTGTGTGTTCGAACGGCAGCTGCGTGCCTGCTATGCCCGGAGCGCGTTGGGACACGATCGCCCACTCGGCCAGCAGCGGCCTGTGACGGGCAGGATCTCGCCACGGCGCCTGCCAAGTGCGCACTGGATGTTACCTCATTCGGCGGCGCGCCGAGGGTGGAAGGGGCCGAGATCCTCTAGGAGGGGCGGCCGCCCGAGATCCTCTCCTCCTCCTCGTCGTCCTCCTCCTCGTTCTCCTCCGCCTCCTCCTCCGCCTCCTCCTCCTCCTCCTCCTCCTCCTCCTCCTCGGGCGGCCCCTCCCCTCGGCGCGCCGCCGGGGGAGGCCTGTTTCAGAAGGGGGCGGGCCGTCTCAGAAGCCCGAGGGTCTTCTGAGAGGCCCGTCGCGGCTTCGGGGAAGGCTCCGAGCATGTGGACGGAGGCCAGAGGCCGTCCAAGCCTCCTCGGAGGGCCCGCCCCTTCTGCTCTCCCCCCCCCCTGGGCGCGCCGCCGACCCTTTCCCTGACTTCCAGAGAGTCAACACGATGTCTTGAGTCCGATGCCTTTCTTCGTTTTCGGCCAGTGGAGGCCGCCTCTGAGCCACGCGACCGCCAAAACGAGTTCTCGAGGTGCGGGAGTGGCCGCGGGGAGTGGGTCGAGAGGCGCAGGACCCCGAGGCTCCAGAAGGCCGAGTCGTCGGAGTGATGGTGCGTCCCCTCCTCTCTCTGGCCCTCCTCTTCCTCCTCGTCCTCGCATCTCTGGGGCGCTCCAGGGGCACCTTCGCGCCGGCGCGCCCGAAGCGGCGCGCTTCGAAGCGCTCCATGCCTCCCTGCTCTGGAGTGCGCTGCCGATGCTGCGCGGTGGGTGCCCGGGATTCGTATTGCTCTCTGGACGCCAGTTTGGGTTCCTTAGCGTGCCGCACGCTGGAGAGTAACGGGCGCCCACCGGCCAGAGGGTGCCGCAGGTTCGCGCAGGCTGACGGACATAGAGCGAGCCATTCGATTGCCACGGACGGCGGCTCTCCAACAGAGCGCACTGGAGGAGTCGCATCTTGGGCGACCTTTCGCGCGGCTGTGGGCGGGCTCCGTGCCCGTCAGGCACCGCGGCGTTTGCCTCCGAGGTTGGCGCCGGAGCGGAGAAGACACCTCGGAGCCGCCGTGCACCTCCACCCACACCTCCCTGATCCCCGCGCCGGCTGTCACCCGCCCTCTGTCAAGGCGGGACAAAAACAAAAACACCCCGACCCGAGAACTGGCGCTTCCTAAACGGCCCTGTGCGGTTAGTAAACAGTCAGGAGGAAAAGAAACACACAGACACAATGAATCCTCGATTCCCCAGAAAATATGGAAAAATATGCGAAGTGGGGGGGAAGACAGAAACCCAGAAAATATGGGAAAATATAGGTAATTGTTTTATTTGTGTGTATTTATTTGTGTGCTCTGGGGCCCCTTCAAACAGCCCTGCCTTGTACGCGTCCTTCTTTGGGTGCGTTTACTAGACGGCTTCGCGTGTCGGGGGGACTATCATGAGGGTGGAAATTTCTGCTCTCTATTATCCTCCCGTCTCTCCACTCAGGCGGGTCCTTGGTGCCTGCTGGATCGCTATCGAAGCGAGCAGCACTCGCGCCAGCGACCTTGCACAGCAACATCGAAGCGTTCGCGACCTCCCACTGGGCACGGGCCCACGCGGTGGCGAGTGACATATGTTCGTTTCAGTTTCGCTTGTGGGAACACGCGGGCATTCGCCCCAAAGCTTGCTCTCGCGACCCGTTTTGGTTCGAAGAAGGACAAACGCCATAAGCATGAATTGCTGGCGATCCGCGCGGATTTCTTGGATCCGCGATGGGCCCCCCTGGCGGCGTCTCCAGCGCCGCCCCTGGCGCGCCCCGCGCGCAAGGGAGGGTGGTCCAACGCAGATCCAAGAAATCCGCGCGAAGCGCCATCTAATTCGGATCAGAGCTTGATCTCCCGACCCGTGTTGATGCCTGGTGGACACCCGTAGAAATTGTCCGTTCGGGGTTTTCCACCCGAGGCCGTCGCACGCGAGCGTCGACGGGATGGTTTCTACCGCGGACGTTGGCGCACTTCGAGCCATCAGGTCTAGGAGCGAGGACGAGGACGTAGAGTGAGCACGCGAGTGGGCTGGCGAGCAGATGAGAGAGGGAGAGAGAGAGAGAGAGAGAGAGGGGCAGCGCCTCAGCGAGAAAAGTGGTAGCGAGTAAACGAACGCCGAGTGGGTGCGCAAGCGGATGTGGGCGGGTGCCTTGGGGCAGCCAGGAGCGTGAAACAGTGGAAGAACGCCGGGGGCCAGCCCGGGGGGGAATGAGACGGGGCGGGCCTTCTCGGGAGTCTCGGAAGCCCCCCGGCCTTCTGAGAAGTCTTCTACGCTTTCCCCGAAGACACGGCACATTTCTCGGAGGGCCGGGGGGGGGCTTCTGAGGAGCCCCGCCGCCTTCTGAGAAGGCCTCCTCCTCATCACTTCCCCCCCCTCGCTCGCCGCCGAAGTACGAAAGCGATGTCATGATAGGACTTGGACTGGCTCAAGATATGCTCTCGACCCCTCCGCCCCAAAGGTGCCCCCGCCGTCGCCGTCGCCATCGCCTCCCCCTCGCGCCCGCCGCCGAGAAGAGGAGGCACGGGGGTGCGAAGGACGGGCGGCCCCTGGTGCCGCAGGTGCACCAAAAAAAAAGAGAGCCCGCGCCGAAGCACCACGACGACGACGACGACGACGACGACGACGGCGACGACGGCGGCGACGACGACGAAGACGACGACGGCGGCGGCGGCCCCGGCCGCACGGCAAAGACAGCGGCAGAGGGCCGCGCCGCGCTGCCCAGGGATGCCCAGGATGCTCGGCGGTGCGGCCTGGGCGCCCCCAGGCCGCACTGTACCGAGCCCTGGGCATCGGGGCCCTCCCCGGGGGCCCCCCCACCGGGCCTCGGGTTAAGTCGGGCGTGTCCTCCTACAGGGGGATTGTCGACGAAAAAAAAAGATACTCAAAAAATATTCCAGAGTGGTCAAAAAATACTAAAAAGATAGTCCCCAGACTATTTTTTGACTATTTTCGAATATGGCCCGGTTTAAGCCTCGGGTCCGTCGAAGAGCGATTTCGAAGAGCGAAAAAACGGCCCTGCGGCCAACCCGCAGAAGAAGACGGGCGACTTCCCAGGGGCATTCCTGCATCCTTCCCCTCGGGCCCATCCCTGGCCACCTTCGCTGGCCGCGCCCCCCGCGCAGAGTGTCGGCATGGCCCTCCAGGGCCTCTGCATCCTCATCGCGCGTCCTTCTCTTACGGGCTGTGCACGGGCACGTGGTGCGGCCTCCTGACTCTGGCCGGAGCTGGCGCGCTCCAGGCACACCGACCGCAACCTCGGCCGGCGCCCCATGCCCGGAAGGCACACGGCGTGAGGTGCTCGATGATACGGGTTGACTGTAGTCAGGAGGAAAAAACACACAGACACAATGAATCGTCGATCCCCTGGAAAAGATTGGAAAATATGGGAATTGGTGGGGAAGACAAAAACCCAGAAAATATAAAGATGGGGAGTATGGTTATTTGTGTCTATGTATTTGTGTGTCCCAGTTCCCCTTCACGTAGGGAAGTGGTCTGGGCCTCCATGGTGCACGGCCCACGCGTCGAGCAGACATGGAGCGGCCGGGTGTCTGGGCGTGGTCTGGACGTCGCTCTTGGACTCCGCCCAGCAGGCTCGCGGAGGCGAGGCCTCTCCGCCTCGTCAGGAGGACAACACAGACAGACAGACAGACAGACAGACAGACAGACAGACAGACAGACAGACAGACAGACAGACAGGCACACAGACACACAGACACACAGACACACAGACACACAGCCAGACACGCATAGACGTCGAGCTCCATGAAAAAAATGGGGGAAGCATGGGGAAATAGAGGGGGAGACGAAAGCCCAGAAAACATCGAAACGATGGTGAATCCTGGCATGTGCATGTATGTCTTCCTGGGTCTCCCGTTGGTGCAGTGGTCGGGTGGGCCAGGCAGCCGCGACCCATTCTTCTGCGAGGCCCCTCTGTCCCTGGAGCCCCGGCGCCGAGGGCCGACGGCGCTATACTTCCCCGAAGAGGCGGAATGCAAAGCTCGGAGGTCCCGGCAGCGGCGCTCTCCTCCTCTCTCTATTCGTCTTCCTCCTCCTCCTCGTCTGGCTCTTCTTCCGCCTCCCTCTCCTCCCTTCTCCTCCTCCTCCTCCTCCTCCTCCTCCTCCTCCTCCTCCTCGCCCTCGTCCTTTTCCTCCTCCTCCTCCTCCTCCTCCTCCTCCTCCTCCTCCTCCTCCTCCTCCTCTGGCTCTTCTTCCTCATCCTTCTCCTCCCTCCTCATCCTCCTCCCCTCCTCGTCCTCGCCCTCGCCTCCCCACACTGGCGCCCGTCCCGCAGGGGGGGGCGCCGCGCAGCTCGCGCGCGGCGGCGGCCCCCCCCCCCGCTCTTCGGGGGACGCCAGCTGCACACCCGCACCGATCCCGTCCAAGCCAATGCTGCGTCCAGGATCGGTGCATGTGCTCCAAGCCTCCCAGGTGGGATCGGAGCGTCGGGGGCGGGGGAAAGAGCCCCCGCAGATGACGCCTCCTCCCATTCCTCCTCTTCCTCCTCCTCTTCCTTCTCCGCCGACGCCCGCGCCTTCTCCTCCTCCTCCTCCTTCTCCTCCTCCTCCGCCTCCTCCTCCTCCTCCTCCTACTCCTGGGTCGGAGCAGATGGGGTCGTCGATGCATCGGCGATGCGGCTCGATGCGGAACCGATTATGAAGGCCTTACGGCCGGTGCCGCCGACCCTGAAGGTGTTGGCGACGGGATGTGTGATCACAGGAGGGAGCTAC